ATTATTTTTATTACTTTAACAATTTTCATAAATAAATGCAAATGCAACACGCATACATATTTACATTTAGCTAAACACACTGTTATGTATAAACATATACATACACTCGTATACAACTAAAACCATGACCTACAAATAATAAAAACAACAAAAACATTAAGCAAACCAGCAACACCTGTGAAAAAATAACAAAAAATAATGAAATTCACACACATATGTACATATACACAGGAAACGATTTTATTTTAGAAGGAAATAAAAAATATAGAGAATTTTTTTGTTGGTACTTTTACTGTAGTATTGGTACGTACTGCCTAGACAATATCAAGCTTCTCAAAATAAAATTTTTATAGAGAGAAAAAAAAAAAATATGAAAAATATTATTATGATGATTAACCTTGTGGTTGAGAACAAAAAAATATATAAACTTAACAACAATTTATACCTTGAAAAGTAATAAACTATAAAATTAAGACTTATTTTTAATAACAAAAACAACAACAGCAGAAAAAAACCCTAAAAAAGATTAAAGAATTTACAATTTAGTTTAAAAAAAGTTGTTGTTGTTAAAAAACTAGAACAGATTAACTTTACTTATGTTGTTGTTTTAGCCAACGACAGCAAAAACTATTTAAAGGTTTCAGTTTAATAAAACAAACTCTTAAGGAAAAACAACAATAACACACACAGAGAAAAAAATTATAGGATTTTTGACCTGTATTTAACAGAATAAACAATAACAATAACAAAAAAAGAAACAAAGTAATCATTTCTTGAAAACCTTTCTAGACTAACATTGTTGCAATAGGAGTACTAGTACAAGTACTCGTAATACCATTTCTATATAAACGTTTTCTCTCTCTCTCTCACTCTCTCTTTTTCTTTAAACACAATGCACTAGCAAGTGTGCAAGTGTTTGCTTGGAATTCATTGTAAAAAATACAGTGTGAACAGGCAGAGAGGGAGAGCCAGAAAGAAAAAAACATAAATAAAATGAAAACAATAAAAACAAAAACAGATTGAGTACGACAACCCATTGACCTACATTCGGAGTAAAAAAAGCAACAGCAACAACAACATATGCAAATGGAAAAACAATAACAACAAACTTGATAGCATAAAAAACGGCGTTTTGTTTTTTGTTGTCATTTTCTAACACACAACACAACGACAGCGTCTGAGGAAACGGAAATAACTGAATGGTTTAAATTTGTTTTTTAATGGAGAACAAAATAAAATAAAACGTAAAGTATTTAGTTAAATATGGCCAAGGAAATAAAGAAATCGGCTTAATGTAATAAACTATTTAATTTAGTACATTGTTAATGGTTTCTATAATGTATAAAACCAGTAGCCAGCAAGTAGGATGGAGTCTTAAAGAAACTGTAATTTTGGGGAAATGAAATCAACAGTAAATAGGGTAAATACAGCAGGCAGTGTTTTGAAATTTTTAGTTTCTTTTTTCTTCTATCAATTTACTTGTTATAATTAAGTTTTTGAGTTTTTTGCTTATTATAATGCTGTTGTACTGTTTAGCACTTAAGATAAATCTTCAAATTTACTAATGAACAAATAATTGCTTAAATATTTATTCAAGTTAGTTCTGTTAAGAAGTCATTAAGTGCTCTTCAAACTTTTAGGAGACAAAAATATTCTTGGAATACAATTTGCTTTTACTTCAATATTAAGAAAAGATACCAAATGAAAAATTTAATTCCTACAAATTCTATAAAATTGAACTAAGAAATGTGAAATTAAACATGCAGAGTTCTGATTGACTAAGATGGGGACATTTTTTGTATCTTTTCGTTCTTCAACTCTGGAACTTTAAATAAAAAATTTGTTGTTTTGTAAGAATAATTTTTAAGTACATGATAATATTTTTAACAATAGAGGCGTGGCACCTCCCATTTGAAATACATATGTACATAAATTATTTTAACTGTGAAACTATTGGAGCTAGAATCCTTGAATTTTTCAAGAACAACTTTTACATACAGATAATAAATTAATGGATTCGAAATAGGGGGCGTGACACCTCCCACATGGATTAAATACAGAAAATAATTATAATTAGGAAACTATTAGGGGTAGAACCTTTTACATACATTTAAACATTTGGATAATACATTTGTGGATAAAAAAATGGGGGCGTGGCACCTTCCATATACATTAAGTACAAAAATTTGTATATCTGATAAACTATTAACTCCAGAATACTCAAATTTCGGCTAGAAAAACTTTTTCATACATGTAAACATTTGGGTAAGCAAATTCGAGATTAAAAATAGGGCATATGGGAGGGCGTGGCACCTCCCATATGAATTAAATGCAAAAATGCGTATATCTGAGAAACTATGGGAGCTAAAATTCTCAAATTTAGCAAGAACATCTTTTACAGACATGTAAACATTTGGGTAATCAATTTCGAGATTAACAATAGGGGGCGTGGCACCTATATGAAATAAATATTAAATTTGTTTGAAAAATAAGTGGTCCAGCAATAGTGGGCGTTATATTTCCTATATAAAATGTATTTTTTTAGGGTATACACTAGGTATATCTAGTATGATATAAATATTGTTATACAGAAAATTTTCTGTAAAACAGAACTTTTACAGGGAAGTTTTTCTGAAGAAATTGCGGTTATTATATTACACTTTTAAAGAAATACTTACACAATTTTTTATACTGTTATATAAGAATTCTATTAAAAATACAAACAATTATATATAGAATTTTCTACAGAAGAACTAATATAAAGTTAATATTCTCTAGAAAATACTGTTATACACAAAATTGTTTATCACAAATACTGTTATACAGAACATTTTGTATGTTGTTATACCCTGGAGAAGACACTGTTTTACACAAATTTGCTAATGAAAATACTGTTATACAAAAAATTTTTACAGGAAATACTGTTATACAAAAATGTTTTTTTTTTTTTAAATACTGTTATACCCTAAATTTTCTGTAGAAAACACAGTTTTACACTATTTTTTATAGAAAATACTCTTCTACACAATATTTTCTATTGTATGGAAAATATAGTTATACAGAAAACTTAGTTTTGAAAATACTATTATACAGACAAAATTTTCTTTAGGAAATACTGTTATACAGGACATTTTGTATTGAAAATAGTGGTATACCGCAAATTTTCTGCAGACTACACTGTTTTAGACAAATTTTCTTTTGAAAATACTGTTATACACAAAATTTTCTACAAGAAATACTGTTATACAGAAATTTTTCTATTAAAAATACTTTTAAACTCTAAAGTTTCTTTAGAAAACATTGTTTTACACTAATTCTTTTATAGAAAATACTATTATACACAATATTTTCTATTGAAAATACTGTTTTAAACATTGAAAATACTGTTACACAGCAATTTTGTATAGAAAATACTGTTATACAGAAAATTTTCTTTAGGAAATACTGTTATACAGAACATTTTGTATTGAAAATAGTGTTATTTTCTGCAGACGACACTTTTAGACAAATTTTCTTTTGAAAATACTGTTATACACCAAATTTTCTACAGGAAATACTGTTATACAGAAATGTTTCTATTGAAAATACTGTTATAATCTAAATTTTCTGTAGAAAACACAGTTTTACACAAATTTTTTATAGAAAATGCTATTATACACAATATTTTCTATTGAAAATACTGTTATACAGAAAATTTAGTATAGAAATTACTGTTATATACATTGAAAATACTGTTATACAGACAATTTAGTACAGAAAATAAAGTTATATATAAAATTTTCTTTAGGAAATACTGTTATACAGAACATTTTGTGTTGATAATACTGTTATACCCCAAATTTTCTACAGGAAATACTGTTATACAGAAATGTTTCCATTGAAAATACTGTTATACCCAAAAGTTTCTTTAGAAATCACAGTTTTACACTCATTTTTTTTTTTAGTAAATGGCTGTTATACACAAGATTTTCCAAGAAAAATACTGTTATATAAAAAATTTTGTATGGAAAATTCCTTTGTACACAAAATTTTTTACAGAAAATACTGTTATACACTAAATTTTCTATAGACATTACTGTTATATACAGAAAATACTGTTATACAGAAAATTTTCTGTAGAAAATACACTGTTATGTATATACATAAAATTTTCTATGGAAAATACTGTTATACACTAAATGTTGGGTAGAAAATATACAAAATTTAGCACGGAAAATACCATTATAAACAGATTATCACAGTGTTTTACCTTGTTCACACTTACATATAAAACAAAGTCAACTTTGATTCGCCTTTAAATAATTCACAAATTTAAAACACTGCACTAAATAAATAACAAATGTTAACTCTAGAGTTTATGATGAGTTTGATACATCTTGACAACTTGTGTCAGGTGTCAAAAATACATAATTTGAAATGAACTAAATATAAAATAAACAAATATTTCTCTTCCTTAAAACAAGAGAATGCAAATTAGCAATTCTTGTTTTTTTCACCTCAAAAATAATGCAAAACAACCACAACAAATATAAGGCTAATATAGACAATAATTGTTGTTGTTATTGCTGCAGCTAGTTATGTTGAAACACTCATTTAGTTTATTGTTTAATTATTGTATATTTCGAAAGGAGGAAAAGTAGAATTATAAAACAGAAATATGTAAAAGGAAATAAATGAAAGTTTTCCTGTTTCTAGGAATTGTTGTTTTGTAAAAGAAGGAGACAAGGAGTAAGGAAGTGAAGTCATAATAAAATAATTTGTGTATTTAAGTGTTTTGTTTTTGCAATTTGCAATTGCTATGTCTTTATTGTTGTCAATATTGTTTTGGAGTAATTTAACCCAGATTCATTTATGATTTATAGTATTTTTATGAAATTGTTTTTTTTTCTTTGGTTTCTAAATGATTTTTAATGATGTTATGTATGAAGTATAAATAGTTTATAAGTGATTGTGGAAATGGAAGAAGAGAGAGGGGGGGGGGGGGGTGATTGAAATCTTACCACAATTATTATTTTTTGTAACAAATGGGCGTATCGTTGGATCCCATATGAATATATAATACAAAGACAACATTATGGCTGCCAGAGACACACATAGAACATAAACTGCTACCGTTAAAATGCGAATGACCTTACGATTGCCCTGCGGCTGATAGCAGCGACTTATAGTTTCCGTAGGCGGTAATTTAACTTTTTCCTCTAACGAACCCATTTTAGAATTCATTTTTATTGATGTTTATATATTTGTCCGTTTGATTTTTCAAAAAATTTTATTAATAATTAATTTTGTTTATTTGAATTTGTAAAAAAAAAGAGAAGACCGTGTAGTAGTAGCAAATCAATTTTGATGTTCCAAGGTTTTTGATATGTTAAATTCCTTGTTTGTATTTTTTTTTGAGTTTTATTGTTATTTGGTTGGGTTTCCGTTTTATTTCAATTCATTTTAGTTTATAAATGCATTTAATTACAAATTATTTTTATGTTTTTTTTTGTTTTTAATTTAAAATTTATTGTCGTTTTTTATTAATTTCTATAAAACTTTTTTTGTTTATCACTTGTTTAATTATAATTTTTTACTTTTTTATAAATTTCGTTTATTTTGTTGTTTTTTATGAATTTTTGAAAAAAGTGTTTTAGTTTAAAAATAAAACCGTTAAAATTGCGTTTCCTTTCTATTCAAATATTTTCTCGACCGTCTCTCTGTGCAACTGCATTTGTAATGAATTAAGTTTTTAGTATTTTCAACGTTTTTAACAAATATCCATCCATCCATCCGTCTGTTCTGGTCGGAATCAGTGCGAATATGTTTCGTTTGTTGTGATTCTCTCCATTTCTCTTTAATACTCTCTTTGGTTTGAAGCGTAAAAAAGGAATCGTTTGCTCTCGTTTTTCTTTACAACTTTTTGTTTTGTGTTAGAGTGTGTGTGTGTATGCATGTGAGAGTTTGAGTTTGTTTGCAAATTGCCAAATAATGTTGTGTTGGGATGTTGCCACTGCTGGGGATATTTACTTTAAAGGGGGAAGTGGTTTTTTGAGGGCATAAGATATGATATAGAGATTTTTAAGAATAACTGTTATACACAAAGTTTTCTAAGGAAAAAACTGTTATACAGAACATTTTCCTTACAAAATACTGTTATACGCAAAATTTTCTATAGAAAATAACTGTTATACACAAAATATTTTATAGAAAAAAATGTTAGACTTCAAATTTGTTATAGAAAGTGCTGTTATATCAAAAAGTTTATATTGAAAATAACTGTTATACACAAAAGTTTTTATAGAAAAATTGAAAATACTGTTATACACCAAATACTGTTATATACTAAGTGTTCAATAGACAAAACTGTTATACACAAATTCATCAGTAGAAAACTTTTATACAAAACTTTCAATTGAAAATAACAGTTATACGCAATTTTTTTATAGAAAATTATACAAAAATAAAGAAAAATACAGAAAATTTGTACAGAAAATACTGTTATACACTAATTTTCTGTAGAAAGTACTGTTATATACTAAATTTTCAATAGAAAAAACTGTAATACAAAAATTTTCCAGCAGAAAAATACTGTTATACGCAATATTTTTTATGGAAAAACTGTTATACAGAAAATTTTATATTGGAAATACTGCTATACATTAAATTTTCAGTAGAAAATACTGGTATTACTAAATGTTCAATATATAAAACTGTAATACACAAATTTTTCAGTTGAAAAACTGTTATACACAAAATTTTAAATTTTTTTTGATAGAAAATGACAGTAATTGGTACACAACAAAATTTTCTATAGAAAAAAACTGTTATATGCACATTTTTCTATAGAAAATAACTGTTATACACATTTTTTATAGAAAATACTGTTATACAAGAAGTTTTTGTATCAAAAATACCCTTAAACACAAAATTTTCTGTAGAAAATACTGTTATATACAAAATGTTCCATAGACAAAACTGTTATACACAAATTTTTCAGTAGAGAAAACTGTTATACAAAACATTCAATAGGAAATAATTGTTATACGCATTTTTTAATAGAAAAATATTGTTATATGGAAGCTTTCGTATAGAAAGCACTGTTATACACTAAATTTTCAATAGAAAATACTGTTACACACACAATTTTAAATGCATTTATAGAAAATAATTGTTATAGGTTCACAACAAAATTGTCTATAGAAAAAACTGTTATATACAAAAAAATACCCAATATTATATAGTGTTATACACTAAATGTTCTGTAGAAAAACTGTTATACACAAAATTTTGTATAAAAAATACTATATAGAAAAATATTGTTGCATGAATATTCTGGGATATTATGGGTGTTTTTGCTAATCTCCAAAATCCCTCAATAATATCTCTGGCATCATTCTTTGTGTAGGTATGTGTGTAAAATTTTCTTTTTATTTGTATTTGATTTTCAATACAATTTCATTTTTGAGGCAAATACTCCCATTATTAGTTCTCTGACATTCTTCCTTTGTTGTTGTTGTTGTTGTTCTCCCCCCGAATATTTAGACGTTATTGCCTTGAGGGGCCACTAGTTACTCATAACAAGTTGTAGGTGGTTACACTACGTAGTAATAATTTTTTGTTTTTAATTCAAAATAAAACGGATTGGAGGGTGTAAAGGGGTTGCCGCTGGTCATGGTGTTGAGAAGATTGTTATGATGATGCCAATCTTTGAATTTGCTCTCGCTCTTAATATATGTTCACACCTCCCCCCCCCATGTTAGAGTATCAAATAATTGTCTGTTGTCTGTCTGTCCGTCTGTCCATATTAAATGCAACACATCTGTTTTTCTTTTTGTTTTTTGGTTTAAATTTGACTAAATAAACAATAATTTTGAAAACAAAGTTTTTTTTTTGTTTAAACTCAAAGTGTTTTTTCTGTTTGTTTTAAATGCTTTCAAATTTATTTGATTTTTTTTTAACAAAAAATTCATGAAACGTTCAATTTTGGTTCAATATTGCAAATTAATTTTCTTTGACGGGTTTCATTCAATTGTTTGGTGTGATTATTTGGCTTCAAATTGTAGTTTTTTTTATTGCTGTTGTTGTTTTGTTTTTGTTTTATTATAAACATTTGGAGGCTGGGACAACGTAAACATTTCCTTTTAATATCAATATTTTGAATATTTTTTTCTCCCGTCCATTTTGTTTGATTGACCGTTGAAATATTTAAAATGTTTTTTTTTTTGCGTTGTACGCGTGGGGTTGTGTACTGTGTGTTGTTTGATTTGTCAAAAAAAAACTTTTAATTTTTTTTTGTAATTTATTGTTAAAAACTTTTTTGTGGGAAATTGTGTGAAATTTATTTAGTGTGTAGGGAGGGAGGGCTTCAAAGTGTTTGCAAAGAATTTCATAATTGGAATCCCGGCAGAAAAAAAGTATTGAAATAAAATTGAAAAAATAAATGGTTATAAAAAAAATAAACATTTGAAGAATAAAAATAGAAAAAATATTTAATTTAAGTACATTTTAGACCTTGTAATATTAATATTAATCATACGTTATGTAGGACAATTTAGAATTCAAATTACATATTCAATTTATTTCAATATTCGATATACTAAATATAACAAAATTCTCTGTGCTGTTGTACAAAAAATTGTCTATAGATAATACTGTTATACAAGAAATATAATGTAAATAGTGTTATACAAGACTAATTTTTTATACAAAATACTGTTATGCAAAGAATTTTCTATTGAAAATACTGTTGTACAGAGAATTTTGTATTGAAAATACTTTTATACAGAAAATTTTGTAAAGAAAATACTGTCATAATCAGAATATTTTATAGGAAATACTGTAATACAGAAAGTTTTAAATAGAAAATACTGTTATACAATTTTCTGTAGGAAATACTGATATACAGAATATTTTGTATCGAAAATACTGTTATACAGACAATTTTGTATAGAAAATACTTTTATACACAAAATGTTCTATAGGAAATACTGTTATACAGAGAATTTTGTTTAGAAAAAACTGTTAAACACAAAGTGTTCTATAGAAAATATTGTTATACAAACAATTTTGCGTAGAAAAAAACTGTTATACTGAAAATTTTGTACAGAAAATACTGTTATACCCAAAATTTCCTATAGGAAATACTATTATACAGAACATTTTGTGTCAAAAATACTGTTATACAGACAATTTTGTATAGGAAATACAGTTATATCGAAATTTGTATAGAAAATACTGTTATACCGAACATTTTGTGTTGAAAATACTGTTATACAGACAATAATGTATAGAAAAAACAGTTATATAGAAAATTTTGTACAGAAAATACTGTTATACCCAAAATTTTCCATAGGAAATACTGTTATATCGAAATTTTGTATAGGAATTACTGTAATATAGTACAGAACATTTCGGAAATACTATTATACAGAACATTTTGTGTCAAAAATACTGTTATACAAACAATTTTGTATAGAAAAAACTCTTATACTGACAATTTTGTATAGAAAATACTGATATACGCAAAATGTTCTATAGGAAATACTGTTATACAGAACATTTTGTGTTGCAAATAATGTTAAACAGACAATTTTGTGTAGGAAATACTGTTATGCACAAAATTTTCTATAGGAAATACTGTTATATCGAAATTTTGTATAGGAATTACTGTAATATAGTACAGAACATTTCGTATTGAAAATACTGTTATATAGACAATAATATATAGAAAAAACAGTTATACAAAAAATTTTGTACAGAAAATACTGTTCTACCCAAAATTTTCCATTGGAAATAATGTTATACAAAGCATTTTGTATAGAAAATACTGTTATATAGATTATTTTGTATAGAAAATACTGTAATAATACAAATACTGTTATACAAACAATTTTGTATAGAAAAAACTGTTATACGGAAAATTTTTTACAGAAAATACTGTTATATAAATGTTGTATAGGAAATACTGTTATACAGCATATTTTGTGTTGACAATACTGTTATACAATCAATAATGCATAGAAAAAACAGTTATATAAAAAATTTAGTATAGAAAATACTGTTATACTTAAAATTTTCCATAGGAAATACTGTTATACAGAAAATTTTGTATTGAAAATACTGTTATACAGATAATTTTCCATAGGAAATACTGTTACACAGATCATTTTCCGTAGGAAATACTGTTATACACAAAATGTTCTATAGAAAATACTGTTATACAAGCAGTTTTGTATAGAAAAAACTGTTATATCGAAATACTGTTATAGCGAAGTTTTGTATAGAAAATACTGTTATACCGAACATTTTGTATTGAAAATACTGTTATACAGACAATAATGTATAGAAAAAACAGTTCAAGAGAAAATTTTGTACAGAAAATACTGTTTTACAGAACATTTTGTATTAAAAATACTCTTATACAGACAACTTTGTACAGAAACAACTGTTATACAGAAAATAATATATAGAAAATACTGTTATATACAGAAT